CTGGCAAAAGACATTAGCCAACCTGACACGTGCTTACACTTGGCCTGACATGAAAGTTGACTGTATAGAATACATACACAGTTGTAAAGTGTGCCAACGCAACAAAATTACGACGCGACCCCATTGGGTCTTCTCCAACCTATCCCTTCAGGACCCAGAGAGTTTGTGTCTATTGACTTTATGGACGCAGGGGTTAGGAGTAAGCATGGCAAGAGCCAAGTCATGGTTATAGGTGATCGCTTTAGCAAGTATGTAGTTTTCATTCCTTTGCCCTCGGAGGCACGTATTGAGCTAGTGATAGAGAAGTTTTTCGATTCCTAGGTTAGTGAGCATGGCATTCCGCTATCCATAGTTAGCGATAGGGATACGTGGTTTACTAGCCAGCATTGGCAGGAGCTTATGCGAGTCTATGGCTCAAAGTTATTGATGTCATCTGGCCGTCATCCAGAGACTAACGGACAGACTGAACAGATGGATAAGATCCTGCAACAGATACTCAGGATGTGCATTAGACTGGATCAGATTAACTGGGATGAGATGCTCCCTAAGGTAGCTAGCGCCTACAGCAACAGTGTCCATCTAGCTACATGTCGAACGCGTAATGAGTTACACAAGTCCTTTAGACCACGCAGGCCGTTTGAAGGACTAAACCGTGACCAGGTACAGCGACTGCCACCCGGAACTAGGGAGTTTGCCCTACAGCATGAGAGAGAGATCGCAAGAGTGACCGACAATCTAAGAAAGGCTCAACACAGAATGATTGAGCAAGCTAACAAGCATCGTCGGCCATCGCAATTCTAGGTAGGTGACTTAGTCTAGGTCAAGTCCAAGGAGTTCGCCCCAGAAGAGAACATCTCACAAAAGTTGTTGCCCACGTATAGGGGACCGTGGCCTGTCCTTGAAGTAAAAGGCGGAGAGGACGGACCTTCCTACACAGTAGAGATTCCGCCACGCCTCCACACATACCCAGTCTTCCATGCATCCAAGTTGTTACCTTGTGTCACCAGTCAGCAATTTCCGCCGCGTCGATCGATGATTCCGCCTGATATGGATGGCAAATATGATATAGATCGCATTGTGGAAGAGGATGTATTCCGGACCGGAGGTAGAGGTCGTCCACACAAGCAGTGCAAAGTCAGGTTCGCTTATCAGGAACCGGAGGACGACCGCTGGTTCACAAGAACCGAACTTTTAGAGACCGCTCCCAACGTAGTCCACACCGATGACAGAGAAAGGAAAGGTAAAGGTCCTGTCTTACACTAAAGTATTCTTGGAGGGCAGTCCAAGCACAGTCAGCAGAGGGCAGTCCTAAGTCCTACCTAGCCTAGTCAGCGGTACCTAGTCCCAGGTCGCACTTTGTCCAGTCAGCAAGTACCATGGGGGACTGTAAGCACCCCGGGCCCAGGGTCCAAGGGCAGACCTATGACAATCCGAAGTACAAATAAGGAGGCAGTGTCCACGCATTCATTCGTTATGGCTGTGAGCTGTGCGGAAGCGCTGTCTCTTTGTCTTGTGCTACGGAGGTCTGCAGGTGCCCGGAGAGGAAGAGGGCTAAGAGGAGGAAGACGCGGCCATAGCCGTGAGTTAGGTAGAGAGTTAGATGGCAGCGATAGCTGCCCAGTAGGCTAGTTAGTGTGTGTGTGTGTGTGTGTGTGTGTGTGTGTGTGTGTGTGTGTGTGTGTGTGTGTGTGTGTGTGTGTGTGTGTGTGCGGGACATCCAGGGAGATCCAGTGTACATGCGTGCGTGTGAACAAGTAGGTCGGGTGGGAATTGTTGTCTGGCACCCTGTGCCAAGGCCATTCAGACAAGTTTGATTCTGGGCTGCGTTCCTGGTTACGTGTTATCTCTGAGCTTTGTGTGGGCGCCTTTGGCCAAGTTTGATTGTCATCTATTTACATGCATGCTGAGCGAGAAGAAGACAAGTCTGATTGCAATTTTAGTAATTTTATTACTATTATTATTATTATTATTATTATTATTATTATTATTATTATTTCATTTTTAATCTGCGGTCCTCACCAAAGTTGCTTCCAATTTACTGAATATAATGCCCGAGCGTTATAAACGAATATAGACTAATATAACTTCTGCTGGGCGTTATGCTCATATACAATGCCCAAGCGGTATTTTCAGGTGAAAGACGGTATGGCCGACCTGCTTTCCAGCAGGAGTCAGTTTTTTTTTTTTTTTTTTTTTATAAGAAAACTACTTTCTGCAAGGAAAATAAGCAACAGCGAGATGACAATCCCAGATCACACCATCACATTGCAAGCCAAATAGTCACACCGTGTACAGATAGCAGCGTTGCACCAATAATACACCAATGGAGTTTCGTAGCACTGAAAACCAATGTCTGTGGAGAGCTCACTCTCTCCTCTCAACAAAAGAGTCCAGTTCCCTTACACTCACACTTGGCGCTCAGCGCCCAGCCTATTCCTACACAGCTACTACAGACTACAAAAAGACAATGCAACTGTTGACATCAGCAGCAGCCCCAAGTACTTGAAGATGCCACCCATGCAGACCATCGCCAATACAAGGTACGTGCCCTCACATCACCATCATCATCATCATCCTTCACCTATCCCCTGACTTCACCCACACCTGTCCTCTCTGTCACCCGAAGACCACCCCTGCGCTTCACTGTAGTCCAAGCCCACCAGCTATGGTGGCTGGGCTATGGCGCTGCCCTCAGCAGCGCCCTCCTCCTCTGCACGACCGCACGTGCTGCACCTCGCCTCTCAGCGCTAGCAGCAGCCTACGAGCATAAGCTCCAGCAGCGCTGCCACCCAGCATGCGAGTGCCTGAATGCCCTGGCCTGGCCAGAGCTCTTTCCTTTATGGAAAGAGCTGGCTGCTTTCACAGCCTGAATGGGCTGGCCTGGGCCCAGAAGCTTCCGGAAGGCCCCGGGAGGCTGCTTGGATGCAGCAGCTACTGGGCTGCTGGGCCTCGTTCGGTTGGGCGCCCAACTGTCTCTGTATGAGGCTGCGATTCACGCCCAGGGCCTGCATTCTTTGGAAAAGCCCGGAGGGCCATGGAAATGCCTGGGTTGCTCGGCCTGTGTTTCTTTCAACCAACTGGCGCGTCGCAACTGCCTGAACCCCAAATATGAAATTGACAGTCGAAGGCCTTTTGCAAAAAGCCAGGCCCGCCTTTACTTAGGGCGGGCACCTCCGCCTGCACTTAGGGCGGGTAAGGCTGCAGACAGGGGCCCATAGGCCTACCGAGGACCCTGATCCTCGCATTTCCATTATAAAACCGGGAAACCGGCCCGGCGTCCCTCACATGAATGCCGCAGCCGAACCGGGCTGGGTAAGGCACTCCCGGCCAATCCCATCCCCAAATAAGATCATCCCACAAGGAAGGTGCCTGTTGGGGTCTATGAGAGCAAGATTCAGTCTTCTTTTGTATGATGCATGGGACGCTGGACCCGGTTTCAGCAGGTGCGGCTCCCCACCACTAGATTGGAGCATCTGGCGACAGGCTACTAGGCAGTGGTGCTCATATCACCCCGCGTAGCACGCTTTTTTTTTTTTTTTTTTAAGGGCCGGGCAGATCCTGTGTTGGGCCTCTAGGGCCCATGTGGCTGTCCATGCATGCCACGGTAACCAGGCCCCGAAGTTACAGACACCTAAGTCCACCCACATCACCTTGTACCTTCTGGAAGCCACAACAACAACAACAACAACAACCTCCAAAATGCAATTCAACCCTGTGTTAATGGTGGCAATCAATGTACACACATCAGGAACTGCATGTGTAAATAAATGATGACAATATACACAAAGAAACGCAGTAGTTTAAAATGAAAGCAATGCTGGTTTTTTTTTTTTTTTTGTACACGGGATATATACAATATGCGAGCAACATTGTCCTCGGCAGGCCTTGATGGGGCCCTGCTGCAAGCCTTGTGCCCGCCCCAAGTGAATGCGGGCCTTCTTTTTTCGGTGTGGCCTGGTGGGCACCAGACAGTTACCTCCCGCAAGTTGGTTACATGCGCCCTGCTCGCAAACATGTGAATCTTCCGGCAAGTTGGTTACATGCGCCCATCTCGGCTCTTCTGGGCTTGACGTGGAAGCAGGCCTTTCTGCCTATCACAACGCCGGAAACAACTCATGCCACGTGTGATAGCTGGGAGCCCTTGACTGTTTCGGTCCCAGGCCACTGTCTGAATCGGGCCTGGGTGCAGACAGACAGTTTGACCCAACATGAAGCTACTGGGCACACGAGCATCCCAGCCAGGCGGGCTTCAGGCCAGGCCACTTTCCATATAGGAAAGTGCCTGGCAACAGGTGAGGCGTTTGGGCACTCACTTCACATGCGGCAACGCTGCTAGTGCGAGTGCTCGAGGCCGCTGGCAGTGAGAGCAGGGCGCACACAGGCGCTAGAGGGAGGAGTGCTGCTTGTGCAGCGCTGTGCCAAGCCAGCCATAGCCGGGCTTGGGTGCAAGGAGGTCAGCAGGGTATGGTGGTGTGGGTGGAAGACGGGATGAGCATTGAGAGGGCAAGTGGGCAAGTGAGGGATAAGACGAGAGGGCACGTACCTGGTCGTCACGGTGGTCTGCATGGGCAACATCCGCATGTACTGTGGTTGCTGCTGCTGATGTCATCTGGTTGCTTTTGTCGTTAGAGTAGGCTAGTATAGGAGCTGTGCAATCCGAGTCTGGGTGCTGAGCACCAGTAGGGACGAAAGACTTCAGATACGTTGTTGATGGTGGCGAGAGAGGGCTTTCATGGACAATTGAGTTCGTTGCTTTGGTTCTCCTTTGGTGTGATATTGGTGCATTTCTGCTTTCTGGACAGCTCGCGACTGTCTGTCTGTCAATGTGATGTTGCAATTTGGAATTCTGTCAGTTCGCTATTGCTCAATTTCCTTATGTGTGTATGTGTGTGCAGAAAGGGAGGGAAAAAAGATGATGTTATTTGAATATTGATAGAGTGTTTGATATTTTTTGAGTAATTATCTATGGGGATCCTTTGACTGGCTGGGCTGTTCTGCAGGTCCAAGCGTTCAAAGGCGCCAGAGAAGAGAGCGCCGGCATCCCTGGCGCTGATATTAACAATTGCTGCTCTGTACTGCCTATGGTGTGTTCGACGGCTCTACTGGCTGATGGATTCCTTTCCCCCGGTCGGAGAAGAAGCAGATCTTGGTGTCATTGTGTTCATGGGTTGCTTCTTCTTTCTGCCACTTCTACTGTGCATCCTTTCCATGAATCCGGTTGAGGACCAGGAATACTTAATGCCATCCTCCTGTAAACCAGAAGAGGTATGACGAGTGTAGTCACTTAATTGTCAGCAACGTCCTTACGGAGCGTTTCGAACACACGCATGCACACCCACTTCAATTGCAGCCTCTTAGAATCCCTTCCGATTGGGGTCCATTCTCGTCCACATTTGGCTCTTCTGTCCTATCCTATCCTACCCTTTCCTTCCTTTCCTATCCTATCCTTTCCTATCCTTTCCTTGCCTATCCTATCCTTTCCCTGCCTTGCCTATCCTATCCTTTCCTTTCCTATCCTACCCTATCCTTTGCTTTCCTACCCTATCCTTTTCTTTCCGTTCCTTCCCTTTCCTATCCTATCCTATCCTATCCTATCCTATCCTATCCTATCCTATCCTATCCTATCCTATCCTTTCCTCTTAGCCAATCAATCCAGTGAGGTCATACTTGCAACGCCTGGACTTTCTTGACGTAATTCTTGCCGTCAGATTTATTTGTGGAAGGCCTGGGACTACTTTCTCGACATAGTCTATTAGTCGTAATCGCAATCAGACACATCCGAAGAAGTCCATAGTGTGAATAGGTTCGGATTCTTTCGACCTGCCCTTTCCTGTCTGCCACTGACCAGAACCGTCTATCTGGGCAACGTCCTGTCCTCTGTGTCATTGGTTGCTCTGGTTGAAAGCAGGCAATGGCATGGCATGGCATGGCACGGCAGTTTGTGAAGGACATTGACCATCCAGCACCAGCTTGCTAGTCAGAACAAGCATGCAGCACGCAACAGCGCATAGAATGTGGCTTCTTTCAGATCACCTGTGTGTATGATCACACAAAGTCTGCTCTGGTCGGTCTTCTGTGGGCCGCTGCCAAGTCAACTCTCTGCCTAGAGCGGCAAGGGTTTGTTAGTAATACATTGGTTTAATCAAGGATGTATTTATACTCCAGGATGGTGTAGTGGAACCCTCTCTACTCCCTCCCTGCCCACCACCGCCGTCTCCCTCTTCTTCCCTCTCAACCCTCCCCCCCCCTCCTCCCCCTCTCCTCCTTTGTGTGGATCGGCGTTTGCATTCCTTTCCAATGTTGTTGTGACAGAAGAGTACCTGACTTGGAGGAGGTTAGGAGGGAGGCCTGGAGGTTTCCAGCTTTGAATTCAACATGGTGTACCACACATGTGTTGGACTATTAGAGAGAGAATATGGCTTCCTCAGAATCCTCACTGAAATATCGACTTTTATATAGGTTCGGAATCTTTAGTTGGGATTAAAGTGGATTAGCTAGCTACCCCTTACCCAACCGAAGGCAGGCACGAAATGCTTCGTCCAGCCGAATGTGTGGTGGGCCATTTATCTTTAGGAAACTTTGAGAGGCTCCTATAGTGTGCACAGAGGTTGTGTTTGTGAAAACCAGCCTGCAGGCAAGGAGGCCTCCTTAAGTTCTTACACCATGAGTAGTGCAGCGGCATATGCTGAGCAGAAGAACAAACTGAGATAAGCCTTCCACAATCTGCGCGAGTATAGGTTATGGGCCATTATGGGGTAACTATGCCTGTGTTAGGAACCGCTGGAAGCTTTGCGCCCAAAAAGACAGTGGAGGTACGCTGGTAAGAGCTTTGGAGTCCAAGGGGTGCCACATGCAACTTTTTGTTTCTTTTTTTTGCCCTTTCTTTCTTTCTTTCTTTTCTTTTCTTTTCTTTTCTTTTCTTTTAATGGGAGAAAAAAAGTATCCACCATCTTCGATTCTGGAGAGCTCTTCCTTGCTGAATGTAGGCTGCTCCTTGATTTCTCGTTACCTTTCTACATGCCATACCACTGCATTCCCACCAGGCAGTTGGAAGAGGGGGGGAAGGGGTCAGGGAATTCTTCGGGGGGTCTCAGGGGGATCTCTGTGTCTACTTTAGCCCATTCATGGAATATCAGGCGGACTTAAAGCCAATCAAAGTTATGACTTCTAAAAAATGTACTTCAATCATTATATTATTTTGTTTGTCTTTGTTCCTCACCTGTCTGGAATTTTCACGTATGCATCAGCATGGTTCTTTTTCGTTCGTGTTTTTTTTTTTTTTTAAGTTGCAGCTTATATTATAAAAGTAATCGAATGAGGCCGGGAATCCCTCAACATCTCAAAAAAAAAAGTTGCCACTGGACCAAAAAGGAAAATTCGGCAACAGAAATAAACGGAACAAAACAGCCAGGAACTATTGAAGAATTCATAACCAAAGTCTCCTGCTAATCTATCTGGGAGTCTTACCCAGCAGCTTCGCTTCAAGATCTTATTACAGAAAAGAGACCAAGTACACAATCTATAAACTCAAGGAAGCCTGAACCGCCTACTAGATGGGTTCCCCACCACACACCCCTGGATCGTCATTGGCATACATTCAACGAACCAATATCACCATGGATACAGTTCAAGTTTGCTTCCTCCCAGGGAGTAGGCGCGCGTTAGCGCTAGCGCTATGGCTGGCGGGCCGCCGCGGCACGCGGATGGTGGCATGATGGTTGCTTGCAGGCGAGGCGCAGGCTGGTCGGAGGTGGCGGGGCGCTGGCTTCTCGCAGGTTGCGAGGCGCTGGCTTCTCGCGAGTGGCGAGGCGCTGGCTGTGTGAGTGCAGCGAGGCGCTGGCTGCTGGCGGGGGGCGAGGCGCTGGCAACAGGTGAGTGGTGGGGCGCTGGTGACTTGCGGTTGGCTAGGCGCTCGCTTGGAGTGACTAGTAAGATGCTAGCTGACATGTGGCGCGGTGCTGGCAGCCGACGGGAGGGAGGCGCTGGTGCGAGGGTGCTGTGATTTTGTGAATTAGATGGGGGATGGCGCTTGACGCACGCGCGGTATCTAGAGGCGCTGGGTCATTACTACGTCACAGGTTGACATGGCATCTGACCTGAGGCACGGAGGAAAAGGGAGAATGGTAGCGGCAGCTGCTGTTTGAACATTTTCCCTGTGTTTTTCACATGAAGTACTCCATAGCCAAGACCTTTAAAGAGGCTGGAGAGCTCATGCGAGCCTGAGGGAAACTTCGGAGGGAACCAGCTACTAGACGGTTCGATTAGTCTTTCGCCCCTATACCCAAGTCCGACGAACGATTTGCACGTCAGTATCGCTGTGCGAGCCTCCACCAGAGTTTCCTCTGGCCTCGCCCTGCTCAGGCATAGTTCACCATCTTTCGGGTCCCAACGGGCATGCTCACACTCAAACCTCTCACAGCAGATCGTGGTTGGCAGACGGTGCACCCACAGAGGGTTCCCGCCACTCAGGTTTCTTCCGCCTCGTGGGCTAATCACCCACCGNATCACCCACCGGCTCCCATGCACGTTGAACTCCTCAGTCCGTGTTTCAAGACGGGCAGGATAGAGGAATTTCGCCAGCATCCCGAACACGCAGGAACCCGAACGGGCCCGCCGAAAGAGGCGCGTGCTCAAGGTCCTCGACTACCGTGACGGGCACCCGTGGGGGGTTTCAATCGCTCCCCACCGCAATGCCGGTCACAGCAGCCCATGCTGGCAGGCACCCCACGTCCAACAAGGGGGGCGACAACACAGTCGCCGTCCACCCCTGCCCAGACGGGAGCGCATGACTTCCCCTCCATCCGCTTCTCGCTCGACAATTTCAAGCACTCCTTAACTCTCTTTTCAAAGTTCTTTTCATCCTTCCCTCGCGGTACTTCTTCGCTATCGGTCCCTCGCACATATTTAGCCTTGGATGGGGCTTACCACCCAATTGGGGCTGCATTCCCAAGCAACCCGACTCTTGGACAACACCTCGTTGCGCAGCAGGGTCCGGCGGTCGACGGGGTTGTCACCCTCTTCGGCGTCCCCTTCCAGGGAACCTGCAGAGGTTGCCTCTCAAGACTACAATTCAGGGAGCAACAGAGCCCCCGGATTTTCAGTCTGGGCTATTCCCGGTTCGCTCACCGCTACCAAGGGAATCCTCGTTGGTTTCTCTTCCTCCGCTTAGTTATATGCTTAAGTTGGGCGGGTGCTCCCGCCCGACCTGAGATCAAAAGGCAAGGCCCGACGTACCTCCACAGCTCGAGGCCGACACCCCCAAAAGTCGATGTTGGTGGAGGAAAGTGGAGTCAGCCCTGTGGAAACCAAAGTGCGGAGAACATTGGTCCTACTTGAAGAATCATCACAGTGCCACTTGGAGAGAATCATCAAGAGAGCGGCTAGGAGGTCGTCATCAACCTATATATGTGCTTTCGTTTGTTTTTTATCTTGTGCAGGTTATCCATCAAGAGCATCGAGATTTTCATCACTGTCTTTTCAGCGGGGGGGTTTCATCAAGGACACCGTCATTTCTGTAATCCTCATTTGGTTACCGGTGGTAATCATCATCGGCTTCTCTATTTCGTCATCCATGTTATTTTATCTTCTTTTTATCTTCTTCATGATTATCATCCGGACTTCTCTGTAAAAATCGTAATCATCGTCATCTTCTATTTTCATTACAGCAATAGTGAGTTGTCAATCTTCCACACAGTTGCCATTAGGGCATTGCAAGTTCGACGTTCCTTAATTATTTTTGCCAATTTTAGCTCATCATCATCATCATCATCATCATCTACCAATCTGAATCATCATCATCATCATCATCATCATCATCATCGTCATCATCACCATCATCATCATCTACCAATCACCATCATCATCATCATCATCATCATCATCATCACGGCTTCTTTATTCATTTTTTCACCAATCAGTAGTTATCTCTGCATTGGTGGTTATATTCTCATCTCCCAGATAGGATATGGTCTAGTTGGTAGGTATGTTGGTCAGGAAGGGAGCGCTACTCCGCAAGGGTAACACAAGGTGGGAGGTGATTGCCCTCCAGGGAGTAGACGCAGATGATGGGAGCTGACCTGGGCTRGGGCTGGGAGATATGTATGGGGGYGCATTATCTCCTGGCGGAGGCAGACTAGGTCAGAGTGTTAGTTTTGAGGTACACCTTTTGGGGGAACTGGTTACCTCAAGGTAGAAGGGAATGGGGAGGTTCTCTCTCTCGTTGGGGCTGGGGTTGTGCTCAGCGAAGGCAGCGAGAGGAGAAGAGGAAATGATGGGAGAGGAGGAGAATACGTGGAAGAAGGGGAGGGGTGGAGAGAAATAATCATCAGCGTCGTCATCATTATCCATCATCTTTGTGATCATCTCAGGGTACTCGTCAAATTTCATCATCAGAAAGTTTTGCTGATCAGGATTCTGATATTATCAGATCCTTGATTTCTGGTTGGCATTCTAGATTAGCTAATTTCCTAATTGAGTCTTCTTGTGCAATGGCCAGCTTGAGTTGGCGCCAGAACGACGCTAGCCGGCGTTGGGGCAGTGCCCTGTAACCTGCTTATGTAGGAGCTTGAGGCTTTGTATAGAGCTCTGGAATTGCCGAGAGAGGAAGGCAATCTGCAAACTTGACTAATGGCTACAATCTGGCCGATGATGGTCGGAGCTGGGGTGGGTAGCGCTGCCTTGTAATCGAGCCAGATTGGGGTGTGAGACCGGGAAGAGGCCTGATTGGTGCACAGCACGGGCTCAATTGTGATTGGTTGTTTGGAATGGATACAGGAAATTAGGGATAGGATAGTAATTCAGTGCTGAGTAGA